TTCAATTTTTTAAATAATTTTACAAAAATAAAAGTTGTTTGTGTACAGAATTACTGTAAAAATAACCTAATGGAAGGGAGGCAACTTTGCACAAATTTTCAACAAAAGTTACAGAGTATCCTCTCTTCTCATTCCATGTTCGTATGCATATTACAACTTAAATAGAAACTATTGCTATTCTTGTTCTGAAAGACTTAAAGAAATTCTGGTACAAGGGATAGAAGTTATAGATGTTGCTGTTTCATAACTAAACTTAAAGGTTCTATAAGTTCTCAACTTATTTCCACCTTGTCCAGAACTACTATTAATTGTATGTAGTGACTCAATCCATTCATCCAAATACTCTTTCAGATATGAACTGGTTAGCTTTTCCACAAAACATGTTTTATTTACAACATTATTAAGAACTAAAAATTCACCACAATTATGTTTTTCAAAAACTTTCTTTTACTCTAAAATACCAGATCTTACAAGTTCTAATCCTAGACCTAAAGAGTTTATGTTTACAGCCAGATCATTTATATAACAGTTAAATAACACTGGGGATAAAATGAACCCTTGACGTAATCCCAAATCTATATCAAACCACTGTGAACTTATACATAAACTGACACTGGAATATAGAGACTTGATAACAATCAACATTTTACAATTCAGTCCCATCTTAAATTAATGTTCCCATAATATTTAATGGTCAACTGTGTCATACGCCTTTTTAAAATCTATAAACGCAGTAAAAGTGCAGAGTTTCTTTTTTAAGCTGGTTTCTATAAAAGATGTGATACTTGATAGATTGTCCCCAGTACTACGCTTCTTAACAATGCCATTTTGTTTATCTACTAGCTTGGAATTATCCTCTAACCACGATGAAAACCTTTCGTTAATAACTGAGCAGTATAGCTTATAAATTGTTGATGCTAGAGTTTTACCCCTGTAATTCAACGGATTCAAAGGATCTGTTGTATTAAATTTTGGGATGGAATTGATAATGCCTTTACCCAAATCTTTAGGTATTTGACCAGTTTCGAAACATACTTTGAAAAGGAAACTGCAATATCATTTTTAAAAGCTTCATATGGTATCTTATCAACACCACAAGCTTTACGGAAGTCAGCTTTATCTATGGCTTTTTAACTTCATTTTCTGAAATAGTATTGTCTAGCTGTGGGATAAAACTGTAATGATCTATATGTACATCTCTTTGATGATAAACACTTGACCATCAGCAGAGGAACCAGTCAAAAGATCTTAAAACTATCTTTCCAATTGTTAAGTTTGATTGACTCCGAATTTGGTATGCATGCTTTTTGCATTGACTTAAAGTACAGCGCACAAGAATACATCACAGTCATCATTTGATCTGTCAGTGTAAAACTTTTCCATAGTATTTTTATTTTTGATAATTTAACAGTTTTATTGATCCTTACGTAACATTGTTACAATCAGTTCAAATGCCACTAAAGTTATATAGGTAAGACGAAGATGCCTAACTGACAGCTATAAAGTTGACAAGGCGACTCATCTGACTAGCGGAGTTCTGGTTGCAATGAATTTTACAATCAGGGGTACTCTCTCTATGTGATAAGCATATGCACGGAGCAGGAACTATTATAGGAGGGATGGAGTTCTTATGATAACTTGTCAGGCGTTCTTGTGATAACTTTCACAGAGTTCGTCGGAAAACATTTTTGTATACTACAAAAACACGTGCAAAGGATAAGCGTTATACATTTCATAACAATATGCAACCTTAATGAATAATAAAAAACGCTAAAACGTGCCGTGAGTTAGCGCAAGAAACACACTGGCACTAACAAAAGTTATCATAAGGACATCTTCAGAGTTATCAAAAGAACTCAAAGACATTTGAAAAATTGGGTATAAATTTGTTAGCTGCGGCTTTATGTTTGCAGTTTTGCGTTATAGTTAGGAAATTAGGAATGGCAAGGATGCAGACCAGAAATAAAGGTCAATACGTGGAAAATAATTTGGAATTTTTTCTCAAGACTACCAGATTTTAAGCAAGAGGCGATGAAGAATGACCTATGAGCTAGTTTTTGACACATAATACAAGATGTAAGGCAAGCTTAATCATCAAAGTTTAATTTAGCACCTAAATTTACTTTTTTAATATGTAAATTACCATTTTGACTAGTGTTTTTGTAGTACATACAAAAGTTTTTCAACGATCTCTGTGACAGTTATCACAAGAAGAACTCCTGACAAGTTATCATAAGAAATCCATTCTTCGTGTAACAGTTCCTCCCCCATAATATGTGATACGCATCTTACATGCCTTAAAGTTTAAACCATTATTTAAACATTCTTGCTTGCTTCATTCTAAAGAAGTTAAAATATTTCATTCGTTATTTAGGCATAATGTGCCTTTAAAGCAGTGCAAACTATTTATAATTATCAGGTATTTACGTTACGAAATGTCCTGAAAGAAACAAAGTACAAATAGCCAGCCAATCTGTACTCTGCACTTTGATTTGCGTTTTTTTCTCTATTTCTTAATGATTAATTTAAAAAGAAAGTTTCTTTAAAACCTTTTTTCGTGAAATTAAAACATGATAAAATTCCACATACTTTTACGCGCCGAAAAGGCTTACTGTGTAAAGAGAAAAGATTCCCCATATAAAATGTTCTCCTTTTATTCATATGATTTATCGAAAGCAAAAAATCATTGTATTTTTATTTCATATTTTATTTTATTTTATTTCATATTTTATTTTATTTTATATCAAACTATTTTATTTTGGCATAATTTGCAGCGAAGTTGACAGCCAATATATTATAAAAGAGCCACTTTACAAGTCCAGATTACTTGACATTCGATACAATGATTGTGTCTTGACTAGTAATTGGTCAGTAAAGTGTACTATAACCTCTTTTTATAACGTAAATTTCATTTTACCGATACGACACTAATTTCACCTTCTCCATTATTCGTATTACTGATTTTACAGATTAACAAAAAAGCAAACTATATAATTATTTATGCCATATCTTGATGTTTAAGTAGATAATTAATAATTAGCGACGCTTGGTAGCCATTGAACATATGTCATTTCAACAAGTACGGTAGCACAGGCAAAAAGGGTTGGGTTTTTTTTCAAATCAGGATAATATTTTGCGTAAAAGATCAATCATGGTAAGTCATTTTATTATTTAAGAAGTGTCCACTTTTGTAAAACGTGAGATGCGATATTTCAACAAAGAGTTGACAGAAGGGATGAGATACAAAGACAGTATATTACCTCATATATTACGTCATCTTTCCCCTGTCCCCTAACGGTGAATTTTCTCAAAGTTGCTATATATAAAAATAAAGATATTACAATTTTGATATCAAAATACTTGTACATAGCTTTATAGCTAGAAAATAAAATATTATACAATTGAATATTTTTTTTTTATTTAATTTTGCATGCAAGCAGTAGACCAAATACGTAACGTTGCTTTATCGTAACGTTGCTTTATCGGCACGACATCACGGACATTTGGACTTGTGAAAGTTTTTATATCATTCCTTTTTCAATACAAGGATTTGCCTTCCTTTTCATCCTGAGCTGAAGTTGGTGTTTTCCTTTAGCAGATTGACAACAGATTTATTTGGAAACTGCGTTTTATGTACATGTAATAAATTAAAAGGTCAAGTTAGAACCTGCTGACGCAGTACTATTAAAAACGGGCAGTCGAGACAACGCATATTGTCGCAAGGTGACGTGCGTCCACCATATACTAGTGAACGTAAATTAACGGCAAAAACATTTTATTTTATACAAACCAGTGAAATTCTCGGGTTTACCTGTGAAACAAAAGCCCAGTATTATAATCACTCACGCTGTGACTGATATAGCTTTGCCGGACTAGTTTGGCGTAAGTTTTTTTTCTGTTAATTTGAAATATACATAAAATTTACGGCGTGTTCCGCGATTTAAATATCATTATTCACGGTGCATATTCATATCGGTACTCTCTTTGCGAAATCTGCTCAAACGGTACCCTCTTTGCACATGCACAGGTCATTCTCTGCTAAAAACAAACCAGCGATGGATAACAATCCAGTATAATTTCATTGTAATAAGGAAAGGAGGTATGACACGTGAAAGAGATGTATACCACGGAACACTAGAATGTTTTATTTATATGCTGATTTGTCATGTGCCCGTTTTTCAAGTACTGCAACTTCACAATAAACTGCAAAAAAATCGACATATCTTGCCTCGTCCATCACCTCGACATAAGTTTTCGGGCTGCAATGAACCTGTGGCTTGATTATATATGCATCATACATATTTCATATATTCATTTGTATATCGTCTTCGGAGAAATGACACGGGTTACCTCTCTGCTTTTGAATTTATTTCAACATACAGTACCCTCAAAGCACGACATGCGTGTCAAATCGAACTCGTTAAATTATGAAAGCGTTTTCCCCGGTTATGGCATTGTAATACTATGCCGTTACCAAGACAATACCACGATGACCCACATGAAGCACCGTAGTTATAGAAAATATTGTACACTTTTCAGATATACGTGAGCGTGTGATGTATATGTTATAGAACAGTGATTTTTGTGTCCTGTTTTACATGTAGTTTCAAAAAGGTTACTCATTGGCCTATTACCTAATCAAGATTTTTCTTCATTTTGTTGCTTTTGTCAATCAGTACAGTTATTGTAATTTAGTATTTTGTATGGACGTAAAAACATTACATTGTTACATGTTGCTCCTGTTACAAATAACTTCACATTTAGCATTATTTTCCTTATACATTAGAAAAAAAATAAGGTACGTGCTATTTAAGTTTCATCAATTGATACTTCCACTCATGATAGATTTTATATTCTGTATTTGCACTTGTTTATTGATTTATTTGTTTAATATTTATTCATTTGTTTTTTATTCATTTATCTTATTTATTCATTTCTTCATTGACGAATAATTGCGGTCGAATTCCGACTACCTGTATTTTAAAGTCTTATTCGATCTTTCGCGTTTCTTGCTTCTTTACGTACTGTGCTAGGACGGGTACCAGTTTATCAAAACATTTAATAAGAGGATATCTGTGATATGAAAAATCAATAGCAAAGAGTGCAATGTTTTTATTAATTTGACATTTATTTTTATACTAATAACTGCAATTTTCTCGAAGATTGTGTATAAATGAACATATGTTATATGTATGGTGCATATATAATCAAGCTACTGGTTCATTCAGCCCGAAAATAATGTCGAGGTGATGGGCGAGACAAGACATGTCCATTTTATGTAGATATTGTGGAGTTGCAATAACTGAAAATGGACACACTACAATAAACACTCGAAGATACAACATTCTAGTGTTCCTAGGTATACATATTTTCCACATGCCATATCTCCTTGTGTCAGTTGAAGGAACATTAGCAGGATTGTTATCCATCGCTGGTTTGTTTTTAGCAAAGAAAAGCCTGTGCAGAGAGGGTACCATTTAAGTAGATTTCGCAAAGAGGGTACTGAAATGAATATGCACCGTGTTATTCTTTTATATAATTGAACATACAGGTAAAAACTTGAATTATAACATTCGTTTGCAAAACGTGTGTGTACATTGACAGACATGCAAACGGTATCAAGTCTTTTTATCTAAGAAAGGACTGTAACTGTCCATAAATAAAACAAAGGCAGGCATAGTGGAACCTCGGTATATAAACTCTTAGAATAAAAATGTATCAATTCGGGAAAGAAAACCTGATATATGACCCGCGATGAGAAAATCATTCGTAAAGACCAAGTAAAAGCTCAAAGCACGCACAGTGACTGTGCTATCATGTGATTGGCCATTGTGTAGGGTTTTTTCCGCTTCCATTTCAAGAATCCAAAATATCTACATCAAAATGCATATCGTGTCCCAGATAGCTTCGTTTTCCAAAATATCTATATCAAAGACATATTGTACACCATTTAGCATATGTTAAAAGCATATTTTCCGGGTACAAAAATCATATATCAAACTCATATTGTCTTCCTGAGACTAAAATATGTATATCAAATACATATCGTACCCCATTAAACCTCGTTTTCATTTACAGAGTCCAAATAAAATTTTGTCAAAATGTGAAATAAAGGTCATTATATTAGAGCAGTATTGATTCTATTGGACTCGTACGCAGTAGTTAATATAAAACTCGGCTAAAGCCTCAAGTCAATCAAGCGTCTCGTCCAATATAGGTTTGACAGCTGTGTACTCGTTCATTAGAATTAAATATTGTCCATGTACACAACCATGTATAATAACCTCATATTATACGTACTGCATACTTTGTATCCTTTTTGAAACACGTATTCTGTTTTTACAAACAATTAAACGTTGTTTTAATATTTTTATTAGACAATCTTCTTCTTAGGGACGTTTAAGAAAGAATTGCAAATCCTCTACTTAGCTTTCATAATAATCTGGCAAACAGCATTCTGCCAAAGGTCTTGTAGCGACTCTACGTCATTTAAATGGGGTTAGATGCGCTGCGGAAAAAAATCTAAAATTACCATCGGTTCAGATCGGGTTTTCTTCATGAAAAAATAGCATTAACTCATACATGGAAATAAATTGCTCAGTCGTTGCCGACTTTGGTTTAAGTTTATCAGTACTTAACAATATTCTTTCAACTAAGTCGGCAGATGAAATATTTAGAGCAACGTGAACGAATTAATCGCCTCAATATCAATGGGGAGAAACTTTAGATCTTTTTTAATTCTATTCTTTTTACAACGGACGGTCAAAATCGATTTTTATACAACTACGCCAAAAAAACGTGTTTAGATCTGTAAACATCAATTAAATCTACTTTCAGAGGTTGATAAGTTGGTATCTACAATTTAATTACATTTGACAAAAAGCAACCTTGTATTTTAGAGATTATTATAGAGACCATTTTGACAGATAGAGAAAATTATTTTTTACATTCATTTACTGATCCGAGGCATAGAATTCAAAAACTTCAAAAAGAAAACATGTGGCGAACGATAATTATATAATGTTATTACATGTATGTATGATACCCGTGGCCTTCTAATTCAGATTTTTACTTTGACTTTAATCAAGTAAGCATTAAGTACTAATGTATAAATTAGAAATTACAGTCAATCACTTTACAAATGGGTGGATATATTAATACTTGAGAAAAAAATCTGCACATATCGTTTATTGTTATGTGCCTTTCAAATGATTTCATGTAATATGTTTGATGTTTGTAACATAATATGACCCAGTCTCTTATAACTCCACTATGGAGTGGCAATATATTTTTTATTATGACTATACATTTATATTAAAACTTATTAACTTAAGTATAGTCAATATACAACATGTGGTCATTTTATTATTAAATAAAAAGCACGATTATAAACAAAAGTACCATGAATCATTCTTTAGAACTAAAGGTTGTTTCGATTTGCGGAAAATAAAAACGATCTTGTTCCCTTTTACTACAATAAACGAACGCAATGACTTACTATATAATTGCTGAAATAAATAAAACCAATCTATGGTGGCTGATTTGGGTCATTCATATTTTCGCCCTGCGACCCCGCCAAGCGAAAAGTCGAATGGCGGGGGCACGAAGCGAAAACACTATAATTAGCGGAAGCGCGGGGTGAAGTATAATTAAATAATTCGCCCCGCCCCGCGGGGGCGCTGAGCGAGGTTAAACAAAATAAAATGGCGAGGCGCACTCTAGCCATTTTAACTTGTTAATTCTCGACTTTTCGCTTGGCGGGGTTGCGGGACGAATACTCACTGAGCAGGGGTGCAAGGCGAAGTTTGATTGATTAAACTTCGCCCGTGCCCTCGTTAATAAGCGTGTTTTCGCTCCGCGCCCCGCCATTTTAACTTATTAAATCTCGACTTTTGGCTTGGCGGGGTCGCGGGGCGAAAATACGAATGGCACAAATCAGCCACCATACCATCACTTATTTCTCTACTTTTCAATCAAGTTAGATATGTTCCAATCTTCTAGTGATGCATCTCGTAACAGCGATGGATTCATTTTCTTTATTACCGCTTATTTTCTTTGCTTGAAAGTGATCTGAGAGTGGCTGAAAATAGGACATTTATTGGAGGCAATAAAAACAAAAGCAAAAAAGGAGAAAAAATGCAGAACCGTTTTGAATGAGTCCCAATAATGACAGAGGTAATACTTAACGTCTTACTGGATGGATTAAAATCAATGTTCAAAAGGATCGATAAATTATAACAACACTGAGTTAAAGTACATGGCCATTTTTAACAGCTGCCATATAGAGCTAAGCATTTTGATACTCTGAGTAAACAAATTCTAGAATTAAAAATCTTTCGAAAGCAAAAGCATCCAGTTAGCTTAATGGGTAGAGCGTTTGCCTGTTAATCGGGAGACCTAGCTTCGATTCACGGACGTAGCTGGTCACTTTCGTTGTGATTGCTTACGGTCATTCAAACTGTTTCTCTGCTCTGGCATGTAGAAATGTTATCAGTTCAGGGAACTAGTACTGGTAAACTGCTTTACAGACTGTCAAAGAACAATGAAATAAATGAATATATGCTCTGGTAAGTTCAATGAATCTGCGGCAAGTGATCATAAAATGAAGATCATCGTTCGATATTGACGAAATAAATTTCTTTAAATAGCTACTCATTACAAATGAAATATTATCTTATCATTTTTTCCTTATATGTAGTAGATTTTTACTCAGCGTTGATCGGAAATGTAGGAAATAATACAATTGTTTTTCAAGGAAAAATAATGACACGCATTTTATGAAATAAAAATTCCTCTATTTCAGTTTTCTTTAATCCAATTTAAGGTATAACGACCCTAAATAAATGTGGCCACTCTAAGGAACTGAAAAAAATGACAGCATAGGTCAGTTATATACCTGAAAGGACACCTGCATGCAAAATTTTAACATAATTTACAGAACGGTTTACGAGTTATGGACACTTTTCTGAACAAAAGCTAAGATATTAAAAAAGGCTGTTCTTAAGAAATTAGAACACTCTATATTCTATTATATCATCCTGATGAAAATCCTTTTTTAATAAACAAATATTAAAATAATAACATTCATCTGACAATGAATGAAGCAAAATGGTTGTTTCTTTTCAAAATGTTTTAAATATGTATAAAACTATTACCTACCCCACCCATTTTAAACACCATTTTGGAAGAAAAATCATTGTTTCTTTTTTAAATGTTTTAAATAAGTATAAAACTGTTACCCTACCCAACCCATTTGGACAATAACTGGAGATGTCCATATAGGACTTAAGGATCTGCTAAAGAATTTGTAAACCCCGTTCGACAATCTCGTTCCTAACCTGTTATAACGTCTCCCACGAACAGTATAATGTAATACCATTGACTTAAATAAGTTTAAAAAAGGGTATTGGAAGTTTGACAACCATTTCTAAAGTCGCATAAAAAATGCCATAGTTTCAGATTTCGCAATTGATACTATATAACCGAAACTGATGCCCACCCTGGTGATATTCACGTGCCGATCAGTATCCCTTCTTCTTTTACATACTTTAAATAGAATAGTCAGCTATTAAAAATACAATTAAAATTTAGGACGCGCTTTGAAAACTAAATCCAAATCTTAAGCTAGATCATTTTGATTTATAAAACAGTTTGTTACAACAGTTAAACTTGTACATGTAGTTTGAGTTTAACGGTCTTTTTTCATATATAAAGAGATACTTATCTACTTATGTTACCTTATGTATCAGATGTGCAAATAGGCATAAGGCAATTATACATATTACAATTTACATGTCATATTTACTTTTTTCAAATCAACTGATTAAAATCTCCTCTAAGGGTCTGACCTTCACAAAATTCCATTCTATAACTTAATATGTTATTAAAAACCCAAAGTACGACAGTAGGTGTCGGCAACCTTATGTCTTGAATCGCATCCATTATCCGAAAATATATCAAGCGTATCTCTATCATATCGTAATCTATCACATCATATCGTATATCATATTATATTATATCATATCATATAATAATTATTATATCAACTTATCTCATATCATATCATACCATTGTCATTTCATGTCATATTCCATGTCATGTCATATATTTTATTATATTATGTCATGTCATGGCATGTAATTTTATATTATATCATACCATATTGTATATCGTATATCAAATCATATCATGTGTCTATAACAGTTCCTTTCGAAGGACCAGACGGTAGAGCAGAGAAGCTTTACCTGACTTCATTCAAGCGTACCGGTATCTGTTCACCTCCCCCAACTTTGTTCACCCCTACCCCCCTCCCCCTACTGCCCCTCCTCTTTCAAATGTACTGGTTAGGCAAGGAAGAACTTAAAAGTATTTGTAGTCAATCGCGCACACTAACATTTCGCCTTCCATTAGTATTTTAGGTCCTTTGATTCTGTTGTATGTTTGACTCAATTGTTTTAAAATCTATTAAGCGTTTCCTTGACATTTTATACTTAAAATCAATGATAAAAAACTTTTAAATGACACCTACTAGTGATGAACATGACTGTATCTTAGGATCTACATAACTACTCTTTCACTTTAGTGGCTGTTACATTATTTCATTTTAAAGATCTTGGTAGTATTCTCTTGATTATAACATATCTGTTTGTTAAATTTTGCCGACGTTCATTAAATTATCTGTATTTCAGGATGTACGAGTAAGGTTCCTTCTTGCATTTGCGACGGTGTTTGCTCTGACATCGCATTGTTCAGGTAACCTACGACATGCTTATTTACATTAAATGATTAATCAAAATCAAATCTTTGTAATAAATTGAAGTTAGTATGCTAATTGATCTATATACTTATACATGTATATGTATATGAGCCACAATAGCACGTGTGCACTTGCATTACTAAGAATTGCATAATACAGATTTCCTTCAGTTTTTTATGTTTCCATACAAATAAACGGTTTCCTATTGTTTTATAATTATATCTATGTGTTTTACCTTTACTACAGCATTACTTACGGCGTGTGCGAATAATGCAGAATGTACCGCTGACCAGGCTAACTCAGTATGTGATCTGGTAACAAACACGGATGGTTTGGGAGATGGTGAATGTGTATGTGCAGCTGCATACAAGGATGATGGAGGCACTGGCTGTACTGCAAAAGGTTATTTATATTCATCTGTCAAAAAAAATATAACCTCTTTCAAATATTTGAAATGTCGTTATTTTAAGTATACTATGTATAAAAATTTGTTATGTGATTCTAAGAATATGAGTATTAGACGAAGTAAAGACGAACATATCTGAGTTGGACATTTGTAATTCCAGATTATTATTGTAACTCGATCGATTGTTATATCAAGGTAGAAGCCGATTCAATTGATATATTACATTTCAGTGTAGCTATTTCATTTTTCTCGTTATGCCAGCAGAATTTATTTCTCCTTATAATATGCGTCACAAATTTTGCAAGCATATGGAGAAAATTACTTTTAAAGAGCTTCATAGATATACAATTGTAGCGGTCTGCGTGGGAAAAAACAAGAGCAACATAGATATACAATTGTAACGCGAAAATATTTGCCTGTATCAGGGTGTATGTTTATTGTTCAATATTGAAAGATATAAGTTAACGAAAAATTGGCAAAAACCATTCGCGGTGATCCAATGTTACAGTAAACAAATGTCACGTGATCACCAACCCTGTGTTATATTCGGGAGTGACGCTATCTCATGTCCGCAATTATGATTGTATATAAATTCAAAATATGAAAATACTCTCTTAATTAAATGGTGTTAGGCTTATTTATTGTTTACTTCTTTAAGTTTTTATAGAACGATAACATGTTGTTTACAGTTTTAACTGATGCATGCAGTGCCGACTCGGATTGTGCCGCTGTGACAAATGCTAATTGTAACACGAACTGTGTGTGTGAGGGACAATACAAAACGTCAGGGTCTACTTGTGTTGCTAAAGGTCTGTGGGTTTCTACAATAGTCGTGTATTTGAAAAGAAATATTCTTCAAAAAAAAAATATTATTTGTAAAGTATTAATGTATTAACTTGTATTTACGTTTGCCAATATCTGTTTTAAAATGAAACAAATATAAGCAAAAGTTTGTCATGATTGAAATGTTGAAGATCATAAAAACAAACAGTTCTAAAACTTTGCTTTTTTTTTTCATTGCACAAAATTATTAATGTTTCACACTAACCATTATTTTTCTTATTGTGCTAGAGACAGTTTTGCACATTTCTTACCAATAGACATGTAATGTGTTCCGATAGAGATCGAATATTCCCCGGGAGATTTTTATTATATCACCTATATAGAGAATATTCCCCGGGAGATATTTATTGTATTACCCTTGTAGAGAATATTTCCCGGGAGATATTTCTTGTATCACCCTGTGGCACATGAATATCACCCATGTAGAGCATATTTCCCGGGAGATTTTTCTTATATTACCATCCGTAGGTGACTTTCCGGTATAAAAACATATAACACATGGCTGTCAGAGTGATAGTGGATATTTTACAGGTTGAAATTATCCAACATCACTAGGACGGGCAAGTATTATCTATATAGTAGCACTTGATACAATTTTTGTGATGTTTTTCCTACTTTCAAAATTACAATTTTTTTATGTTCATGTGACGTTGTACTGGTGTTAAAGGTAGCTTGTATGGCGGCTGATTTGGTACATTGCGCGTTGCGATGTGATTTGGTACATTGCGCGTTGCGTTGCCGATATCGACAATGCAACCTTTATCGTTATCGCTTTTTCGTCTTGACGCTAGCGACAACACAACAAAGCGACAAACGGCGCGTTGTCGCGCTGTCGTCTTGTCGTTCTGTCTCTGGCGAAACACGCCAAACGGCGCTTTGTCCTGTTGTCGCTAGCGCCAACACGACTCACAAACGCGTTCCAAATCAGTCACCATATTATCGCCTTTTTATGGTGGCTGATTTGGTACATCGCTTTTGTTCGTCGTGTTGGCTAGCGACAACATGACAAAGCGCCACACGGCGCGTTGTCGGACTTTCGTCTTGTCGTCCTGTCGCTAACGATGTACGCAAAACGGCGCGTTGACGTGCGGCGTGCTGTCGCGATGCCACATTGTCGCTCGATTCAAATCGAAGGATTTGCTTATTAGCCAAGCGACAAGGCGACACCGCGACAACGCGCCATTTGGCGTGCTTTGCTAGAAACAGGTCGACAAGACGACATCGCGACAACGCGTTGTTTGGCGCTTTGTCGTGTTGTTGTCGCTAGCGACAAGACGAAAAGGTGATAACGATATAGGTTGCGTTGTCGCTATCAACAATGCAACGCGCAATGTACCAAATCAGCCACCATAAGTAAAGCTGAAATATCACTAAATAATCTTCACTGTGTCAATGTGACTGAAAATCAAACAAAACAAAACAAAAAAGCATAGCGATCGTTAAAACTGATATAGTACATATACTTTTATATTTTTATATTAATTTAGTATTGTATATATGTATACTGTGTGTATCAAATGTAGGTCTTGGAGACACATGTGGCGCTAATTCGGACTGTTCCGGTGTTAGTAACTCTGAATGTAGTACAAATTGTGTGTGCAGCTCAGGTTATACACAGAGCGGTTCTACGTGTGACTCTGGTAGTGGTGGTGAGTAAAATGAAGATAAATTCATGAACAATGTAACCTTTAATCTTTACATATTTCTTACCAGTGATAAAAATGATACATAAACATGTATTTATCTAAGCATAAAAGCATCTTCCTTATGTGTATGTTCAGCAAAATAATAATGATTTAGCACCTTTGATAACGACTGCTTTGATTTTAACTCTGTTATGAAACAAACAAATACCCCCCCCCCCCCAAAAAAAAAACAAAAACCTTTTCCAGGATTCGAACCAGGATCTCTACACTTCCTAAAGAACACTCTACCTCTGCGCTATTACGCTATGGTATGCTGAATGTTCATAGTGGTTTCCGTTGTAAAACGATGTAAGCGATGAACAGTATAATTTATGTAGGTCAGTTCAGTTTATTTGGCCAATCGGCATAATACCATAGCTTTGCTCAATTATCAATTACATAGTGAAGAATATGGCCAAGACAACATAAACATATAAACAGTACATAATACAGTGCTACCAATATATGAGCCGTGTCATTACAAAACCAACATAGTGCGTTTGCGACCAGCATGGATCCAGACCAGCCTGCGTCTGATCAGGATCCATGCTGTTCGCTTTCAAACCCTATAACAAGTAGAGAAACTGATAGCAAACAGCATGGAGTCTGATCAGACTGCGCAGATGCGCAGACTGGTTTGGATCCATGCTGGTCGCAAACGCACTATGTTGGTTTTTGTCATGGCGCGGCTCATATATTAATTATCGACACCCTGTAAAGATTGATTGTAAAGATTGATGTAAACAGATAATGTTTCGAGCTAATCTAGATTATAATTCTGTCTACAATATCAAAAACAGTAACAATTTCCTCTTTTCAGGTATGTCTGTTTCCCCTTCGACGCTTATATGCGTGTGTGCGTTTGCTGTTACAGTTTTTAGAAACAAGTTTGAAAGAAGATCGTGGCTTTTGTAAAGGTAAAAAATTGACCTGTTAAAAATTAATCCAACTTCAAGAAACTTTACCCTTTATAATACTTATGAACCTTAAATATTCATCATATTATAACTTATCAATGTACAAAAGATGACCATTGTTATACACTGTAGTAGTAAACTGAATCTTCTAGTTGGAAATTAGGAGTTGAATTGTACGAAATATAATGCTTTGATGATTCGCAAGCTTAAAAATTACAACAGACACTTAATATGGCAATGGACATTTAATTGTCACGGCAAAAATCTTTTGATATATTCTCAACTATTCTAACTGTATGTTACGAAATACTGATACATTTCAAAAATAATTAATAATGAATAACCGTTATCACGCAACATCTTTTCAATATATGAATGTACTTGTCCATCTTTCAATACAATTCGTCATTTTAAGGAGAACATTTGAAATATGTTCTGACTGAACAGCGAAAAGTGCATACTGTTGTCGGACGGCAAGGCTCTGCTAGCTGATCTTGATCTTCATTGGTTCAGTCGCCAAGAGAGTAAGAGTTTAAAAAAGATGCATATTAAACAGCATGACGTAAATAGGTCACCCAGATATCCGGCCTTGTTTATTTAAAAACAATGTCATAGAAAATATATATAATTGCACTGAGTCATATGTATCTTCATTTCAGGACATAGACAAGACTGTACGTGTAGGATCAACTACTAATGATGACTTTAAAGTTTAAGATGTACTTTATTCTACATGAAAACAGGCGACAAAGACAATAGTCAGAATGTGTTTAAGAATCACGCACATGTATTTATTTACCAGTAATATAAAGGGAGACATGTTGATACTACTTGTGTCACTAAGTGAGTGTAGATTCTGTTATTAGTAAACGTTTAAAAGTACTGTGTAACTTTATAAATTATTGATATTGACCATTTGACTGTATTATATGCTTATTTGTTATACGTACTGTGTACGCATGGACATATTTCCCGGATGTATTTTGAAATAAACTCTTGAAATTCTTTAAATTGTAATCAGTAGCTTATTTGATTCTATTATTTTTTTTTTTTTAGAAAAATGGCTATTTATTTAACAGGCTGTTTTCCATAGATTTAGATATAGTACAAGATTCCGTTGTCACAGCTTATGTAATATTCTTCTATGTTTAACTTCAACTAAAATGATTTTATCCAGAAATATTTGACATGCACATGTTTATTTTATATAAAATAAATCAATATTTTGATATTTTTCTGACATTATTGGTGATTAATGACCCAGCTAAAGATTTTAAATGTTTTTTTTTCTTTATCTTTGAATTTAATAAAAAAAAGGAAACATATTAACTTGGAAGAGTCGTTTGTTTTGTTCTTCTCAAACTCTTTTAATAACACCGAAACCACATTTAATAACTCCAAAGCCACTTTTAATAACATTCCCCGCCGTCAAAATATGTTCTTTATGTCTCCTTTGTCTTAAAATAAATCCTTGCTGCTGGAATCATATTGGAATCATTTAATCAGTGATTCTTACTTGACATGATTTCTATATTGGAATCAGTTAATCAA